AGATGCGCACCGTTCATTTAGACAACGTTCACTTGTGCACCGTTCGTTTGCACACAGAAAGATGCGCACCGTTCATTTAGACACCGTAATAATGCGCACCGTAAGCATGCACACCATAATAATGCGCAACGTAATAATGCGCACAGTTCACTTAGACACCGTAATAATGCGCACCGTTCAATTGGACACCGTTCACTTGCGCACTGTTTGTTTGTACATAGAAAGATGCGCACCGTTCATTTAGACACCGTTCATTTGCGCACCGTTAGTTTGCACACAAAAAGATGCGCACCGTTTATTTAGACACCGTAAAAATGCGCACTTTAATAATGCGCAACGTAATAATGCACACCGTAAAAATGCGCACCGTAATAATGCACAGCGTAATATTGCGCGCCGTAATAATGCGCACTGTAATAATGCGCACCGTAATAATGCACACCGTAATAATGCGCACCGTAATAATGCGCACCGTTTACTTAGACACCGTAATAATGCGCACCGTTCGATTGGACACCGTTCATTTGCGCACTGTTTGCTTGTACACAAAAAGATGCGCACCGTTCATTTAGACATCGTTCACTTGCGCACCTTTTGTTTGCACACAGAAAGATGCGCACCGTACATTTAGACACCGTAATAATGCGCACTGTAATAATGCGCACCGTAATAATGCACACCGTAATAATGCGCACCGTTCAATTGGACACCGTTCATTTGCGCACTGGTTGCGTGTACACAGAAAGATGCGCACCGTTTATTTATACACCGTTCACTTGCGCACCGTTCGTTTGCACACAGAAAGATGCGCACCGTTCAGTTAGACACCGTAATAATGCGCACTGTAATAATGCGCACCGTCATAATGCACACCGTAATAATGCGCACCGTAATAATGCGCACCGTAATAATGCCCACCGTAATAATGCGCACCGTAATTATGCACACCGTAATAATGCGCACCGTAATAATGCGCACCGTTTACTTGGACACCGTTTATTTGGACACAAAGAGACGTCTTAATACAGATATTTAAGAAGTGAAAATTGTGTTTGCAATAGATTTTATTGCACATATGTAGGCGGGGGAGAGGCTTTGCCCCTCCCTCTGCACCCTTTCCCCGAAAAAACTTTAACCTAACTTAACCTTGCAACCGACGGTCTCGGAGGTTGCATCCGCCCGTCGTGAAGAGAGTTTAGAGGCCAGCAAGAGGGCGTAGCGTAGGAATACCATCTCAAGCGACGGAGTAAGGCGTTAGAAGTAACGTCAAGTATTTTTGTAATGGCGAATCAGCAGATGGTTTTGTTTTTTTGTTTGTTTTTGAGCGGACTGTATTTCGTGTGTTTAATTTAGTTAGGGATACAGATCCGGGGTGCGTAATGCCCAAAATTTAATCAAAACAATTTTTAGTTTATTTTGTTTTATTTTCTTTTAGAGGGACCCAAGTAGAAGGGGTCGACTCGCTAAACTGATGTTTGCCAAAAACACTTGTTTGCGAAGCAGTGTGTAGTTATCGCTATGACGTTGTAAGTAAGCGTGGTTTGGATTGATTTTCAATCTGGCTAAGTTTGAGCAATAATTAGAGAGTTAGGTACTAACTTGTAGAACTTAACTTGGTAATTATTACTGTAACGGCAGTAACAGATTATATGTTCAGTGAAAAGCTCACCTAAAAAAAAAAGAACAATAATTAAGGTTAATAAGGTTTTGTATATATACTTACCTGTAGTCGTTAAAACTAGCTCCGTTCATCCAAGTTAGTCGTCTTCTTCTTCTGGATAGTTGGGCAGTTACCTGAAACAGAAAAAAGATTTACCAAAACGTTTTGTTAAAAGTTTTTGTTCACGCTTCGTTAGATTGTTTGTGTAAAAAGTAGTTGAATGAAATATTTCATTTAATTCAGCAAGTTTGTTGTACTTACTTCAGTGTGCTGTACCTCTCTGCGATGCGTCTGTGTGTGGCGTCTAAGTTTGGGTTGCTAATTATTGCGGAAACTTTGCGTGCGTACTTTTCTTCTTTAGATTGGACGTTTAGATAAGTTTCAGCAATAATTAGGTTTTGAAGACTAACGTCAGGTTGCGTTGACAATTATTGACGGGGCTTGGTATACGCGTTACTCTTCTTTAGACAAGGCGTATGGGTAAATTTTGTCAATATTTGTGTGTTGGGACTAACTTTGTTATTCGTTGGTAATTATTGACAAAACTGTGTGTGCGTGCTAATCTTCAAATTAGGTGCTGGGGCAAGTTTCGTCAATAATTGAACATTAGTGTTGGTTTTGGTTTGCGTTGGTAATTATTGTTAAGACTTCGCGTACGTACTATTCTTTTTCAGAATAGGCGTTCAGGCAAGTTTCATCAATAATTGAAAGTTAGGGTCCTAACCCTGACGGTCGTCGTAAAGCCTAACCCTCACTAAGGGTGGAATTATTGTTGAGACTGCGCTTACGTACTGTTCTTCTTTAGACTAGGTGTTCAGGCGAGTTTCATTAATAATTTAAAGGTTTAGGGTCCTAACCCTTTTTTTTTTTTTTTTTTTTTTTTTTTTTTTTTTTACGTGGGGAAAATCCTTGATGGATACCCCGGCCTCGGGGGCGATGGCCGGGGTTATGCGGGACTCCCCTCCCACCTTGAGAGGTGGGGAGGGTTTACCCGCTAAAACCCCCACGGTGTGCCTACTCAGCGCGTTAAAGGGAGGGACCCGGTACCCCTTTCGGACTCATCGCGGGTCCCTCCGTTTTTTAAGAGCTTTCGCCCACCAACTCTACCGAGTTTCCTCTTCCTTGCGGTGGAGAGAAGGGCCACAACCCCTCTCCCACCGTCTGATGGGTCACGTGCAATGACGGCATGAGTACCCCCCTCTTGCCGTCTGTGACCCGGCGTCAAACCCCAAAAGGGGGACGCCACCCCGCAAAGCTCCAAGCCGCCCGGTCGAGACCAGACGGCTGGAATACCCCCCCTGGTTACCGCCTTACAAGGCGTTTTTCCTACGGCCCCCTACTTCTTTTTTGAAGAGAGAGGCCCAGGCCTACTTTTCTTTGTCACCGGGGGAGTCCCCCCCAGGAGGGCGGCAAGCGCCTTGCGCGCTGTTTCTCTCTTACTCTCCCCGGTGGGTTTACTTCCCTCCGGCACCGCCTTTCTCACACTCTGCTCTTTGCCTCCAGGCCCCAGAACAGGGGAACTAGAGGCAGGAGGAGAGGCCGGTCGTTTCTCCGACCGCTTCCCAGCACTAATTGCTGGACCCGCCACCGCCCCCGGTGACGGGGGTTTCTCCAGCTCAACCTCCATTACGGCGTCGGCCGAATCCTCCCGCGACGGACTGGCCTGGGGTGCCACATCCCCCACGAAAGAACCGGACGGCGCACCTACGTCTTTGCTGCTTCGCGGAGCAGCAGCAGCAAGAGCAGGACCTCCCTGTGCAGGAAAGTATTTTCCGCCCCTGCCCCTTTGGGTGGTGCACGAAGCACCACCCAACCGATGTTTTGCCGGACGCCCCAAGTCCGAACAAAGCGGACATTGGGGCTCCGGCGCCGCGCACCTGCTGGCCACATGGCCAGTCTGACCGCAGCGATAACACTTACCGCTGCGGTCCGCCCCCCCGCCGCACAACCTCTGGACGTGCCCCAACTGGAGGCACTTGTGACAGCGAAGGGGTCGGGCTGGGAGAAGGTCAACCCTGGCCAACTCCCACCCCACCTTTATCTTCTTCGCATTGCCCAGTCGCCTAGCAGCGGCAACTGGGCATTGCACCCAGGCCGCGCACGCCCCCGAAGGAGTGGCGCGTATTTGGCCGACCTTAAGGTCGACCGCGCGACACCCCCCGGCCGACGCCACGGCCGAAGCCAACTCCTCAGGGGTTACCGTGTGATCAAACCCACGAATGCGGACCTCCCCGCACTTCGCGGGTCGACCGACACGGACCCCCTTCGCTGCAGCAAACGGCCGCATTCCTGCAGCCAAGGCATCAGCCTTGGCCTCCTTCTCTGGACCGGAGATCTCTAAAAGAAGACCCCCGGTGACAGTCCTCCGGAGACGAACGTGGTCTATGCCAAGACTCTCCAAGGAGAAATTGGCCCGACACGCCTTCACCACCTCCGTCAGGAGGCCAGTCTCCCCCGGCGACGTCAGCGTAACCGCTGCCGTCGTCGGGACCCGAAGGCGAGGACGCTTCACCTTCGCCTTCTTCTTTCTCTCTGAGAGAGGAGAAGGGCGATCATTCACCCCTTCCCCCGGGACAACCCGCCCTGGTCTCGCCCCAGAACCTGGGGCCTTAGAGGAAGAACGCGCTGCGGCTTTGGCCGGTGCCTTGGCCGCCCGCTTGCTCTTTCTGCCTACAACCTTTGACCACGTCTCCTTGCTACTGCTCGGAGACGGGCCGAGAAGCTGTCTTCCCGCAGTAGAAGAGGAGCGGGAACCCCCGGCCTTAGCCTGAGGTGGTGCCACCCCTCCCTCCTTGCCGCTCTTCCCGCTCTTCGAGGGAGCGGGCTTAGCGGCCCTTACTTCCTCGAAGCTACCCTGAGGTCTTTCTGGCAGGAGGGCCTCCAGCTTTCGGTCGATGAGAGCCTCGATCTTCTTAAGAAGATCGCCCTCACCGACCTCTTTTTGTCCTTTAGTAGGACCCGGGGGCAATGGCGGAGGCATGCGGACTTTAGCCCGCAATGCCTCCACCTCCTCCTGCAGTCTCGTCACCTCGGCCCTCAACTCCGCATTCTCGGAATAAGTCCGAGACGGAGTCGGGGCAATGAGGGTGTTCGGGTCTGCCCTCATTCTTCCATCCAGGAACTCCAGGATAAACCTGGAGTTCCTGGTTGCCTCGCGGAGAGCCTTAACGGCAGTGCCCTTAAGGTTTTTGGAGGTGGTGGCCACTTTGTCCACCACCTCCAATTCCGCCCAAACCCGGCCAGCGATGCTCCTTGCATCGAGCAGCGCCAGCTCGTCTTCCAGATTAGGAGGTGTATCCCGTAGATACGTCCTCCTTAATCTTCGGATGGACTCCGTATCCGAGGGACGACCAGACATCTCCGAGCCCGTGTCCGTTTCTCCAACAGGCGGCCACCCGGTCTTCGCCTGCTGGCGCTTCCTTTCTGCGTACCGCAAAGCACGCAGCTTCTCTCTAACCTTTCCAAGGCCCACAAAAAGACCATGGGTCGGCGGGAGTCCAAGCCTCTCCACATATGCCTCCTTTTCTTTGCCCTCCAGGGAGGGCGCCGGGGAAAGAGGCACATCATCCTCATCCTCACTACTTGGTAAGGGAGTCCTCAAATACGACTCCATAGAGTCGGACGAAGAGTCCCTCACCCTACCCCTCAGCCGATGTCCTGGTACAGCCAGGGCACCGGTTCTCGCAGGCGCTGTTTCCCCCGATGGGCCTGCGGTGCACCCATCGGGTAGCCCTGCATCTGATAACGACGGGAGAGGAGCAGAGACCATACCCCCCTCTCGCCGGGCCCTGGGTGTCCGATCACCCTGGGCCGGTAAGTCTTTACTGTTCTCTTGGCTCGCCATCATGTTCAAGAGATTTGGTTTTATTTCGGAGTTTTCCTTCTCCTAGACCGGTTGACATCCAAGTCTGACGAGCCTGGCCTGCCCGGATTTGAAGTCAGGGTTTACTCCCCTATCCCAGTTGTCCCCGTCTCTGGGGGCTAACGGAGCTGGGAACTCCGGGTTTTTGTTCAAGGTTTTCCTTCCTCTATTCCCACTCTTAGTACGGGAGCTCGGTGAGGGGCCCTTCCGAGCATGGGTGACCCTACCAGGGACTCAAAAGAGTCCCCGCCGGCATGGCCCCCTCACTTCACCGCTCCCAAGCCCGGGCACCACGACAAGGTGGTGGGAAATCGCCCGGGAGGGTCCTAACCCTGACAGACGTTGTCGAGCCTAACCCTCATAAAAAATTGAATTTTTGTTAATACTTGGCGTGCGTAAAAAAAAAAGCATCTTTTGTAGAGACGATACTGCAAGTTTAACAAATAATTGACGCTTTGTACTTACTTTAGGTCGGGTAGGCCCTCAGAGATTGAAAGCACCTGTAAAACAAAAACGAAATTAGAATTATGAGTGATATTTCAAGGATGGAAAGAACTTTGATGGGAAAGGTTCCACACTAAGTATTTTCAATAATTGATGCGTAAATAGGTTTTGGTACTTACGTATGTGGGATCCTTATCCATCAGTGACTCGGTCGGGAACAAAAAAAAAAGGAATTGTGAATTAGTGGCGAAACTTTGGGAATAAGCTTCTTGAGTGTTGGTGAGACTTTGCTGATAGGAAATTTCAATAATTGAAATTTTCAAAATTGTGTTAACTTTGTAAAAAATTGTCAATTATGGATAAAACTTTGTCAGTAGACATGGTTTAGATCAAAGAGTAGTTCAGTAAAGTTTCATCAATAATTTGGCAGGTTTGTTCTCAAGGCGGGTTGCGCATGCGCGGTTCTCGGGAGGGGAGAGCAAGCGTTCGTGGCCGAGACAGGCGCGCCGCGCAGCAGTTGGAATTGAGCGCTCAAGAGAGCATAGCGTGGTAACAACGAGTCCTGCTCAACATAGTAAAGAGTGTAGTACGATCGTTCCGAAGAAATCGGACGTAAAGTCATCGTCTTGCTAAAAGGCAACGCAGATTGCGACACCGGAAACCCGGTTGTTAATAACGTTTTAGTATACAATCCTGTAACACAAGAAAGTTGTTATTTTAACAAGTGTGAATAAACAGTTTGTAAACAATTTAACTATAAACTCAGTGTGTGATTATTTTTCACAACTTGAACTTTGGTAAAACCTGGGCCTTACCAGAAGCCCGTTGTCCGCAGCCATCATCCAGGGTCCGTAATCGAAGGAGATCCAGGGGCAAAGGCGGCAAGTTCGGATGTTCATCTGTTTGGTGAGTCCGTTCCTAAAACACAACGAGAGGATTAGTTCCTTCCTGGTTGGCGGGGAAAGCAGGTGGCGACCGTAAAAGTCAGTTAAACAGCTTAACCGATCACAACCTAACCTGTGTTACTACTATCATATATTTTCACTTTTCATTGTCTGTTTGTGTTTAAATAAACGGTGTCTAAGTAAACGGTGTGCATTATTACGGTGCGCATTATTACGGTGCGCATTATTACGGTGCGCATTATTACGGTGCGCATTATTACGGTGTCTAAATGAACGGTGCGCATCTTTCTGTGTGCAAACGAACGGTGCGCAAGTGAACGGTGTCTAAATGAACGGTGCGCATCTTTCTGTGTACAAACAAACGGTGCGCAAGTGAACGTTGTCTAATTGAACGGTGCGCATTATTACGGTGTCTAAGTGAACGGTGCGCATTATTACGGTGTCTAAGTGAACGGTGCGCATTATTACGGTGTCTAAGTGAACGGTGCGCATTATTACGGTGTCTAAATGAACGGTGCGCATTATTACGGTGTCTAATTGAACAGTGCGCATCTTTATGTGTACAAACGAACGGTGCGCAAGTGAACGGTGTCTACTTAAACGGTGCGCATATTTCTGTGTACAAATAAACAGTGCGCATTTAAACGGTGTCTAAATGAACGGTGCGCATTTTCTTGCGTGTCCAAATGCACCGTGTCTAATTGAACCGTGTCTAAAATTCTGTGTCTATTTGCAACGTGTCCAATTGCAACGCGTCCAATTGAACGGTGTCTAAGTGCACCGCTCCCATGTAGAACAAACGCAATGTAGTACAAAAGATTAATAATTATAATATACGTAGTATGCTTTCTATCAATGCTTTTCTTAAATTATTAAGTCTTATACTAATTTGTATTTCAATTAATAGTTTCTATAATCTAGAAAAAGAAAAGTAACATATAAAAAAATTAAATATAAAGGAAAAATACAAATAAGATAGTTTTTTACATTTTAATATGTTATATTATTTATATTGCACTTAAAACTATACATATCAACAATTAGACTTAATATAAATATTATTTTACATTTAATATAATTTTTAACTTAATATTTACTCTAAATATATTTACTTTTCTTCATATTTTTATTTAACTTACTGCTATTTGATTTCTCGCTAGTTCGTATTTCAACTAGTCGGTCTACCACGATGATTTAAAACACGAATAAAAAATATATATATAGTACATAATACTATTACACTAGTAAAATATATATCTACATTGTATACCTATTTAAATATACCTATTTAATAGTTATTTTACCCAGCCTGTTCTTATATATTTTTAATTTTTTCTTGCGGTAAATATATAGAAAAGGTCACGCCCCTCCGATTTTAATGGACTTGACATATATTGTGAAGGTCACCTTCCTGAGTAACAATCCGTAAATTTTAGCCGTCGCTCGTTGTTAATAAAAAAGTTATGAACAAATGGAGTTTGAAAACTAAGGCTGCTGCTTACACGCTTATAACACGAGCAAAAAGAATGAAAAAGTAGCCTTCACAATATCGTACATACTAAATATTTACTTTACAAAGATGTATAATGTCACTAAGTATGTAAAGGTCGGAAACAAATGTTATGATGTATTTCTCACTCCTTCTTATATTCAATATTGTTTTATATTAAACACGTAATCTCTGATTACGCGTTACGCGTTACACGTTACGCAAAAAATAACAGTGCATAGGATTACATTCTAATTCTTTCATGTTTTTTATGTTGGTGTTGTAAACGTGTAGGCAGAAAGGGCTGCGCCCCTTTTGCACCCCCCTAAACTCTAACCTAACCCCAACCTAACCTTGTCACCAGAGCCGAAAGCCCAATTGAAGGACAGGGCGCTGCAGTGTGTGGAGCAAATTTTCACACCAATAAGGGAGGCACTACTAGGAGCTCAAATGCAGTACGAGAAGGACGAGCTTCGGAAGGAGGCCACGTACTGGTCCGGAGTGGTGTTAGGCGAAGTTCTTGGCAGAGTAGGGTACGCTAGGAGTACCTGAGAAAAAGAAACTGTACATATAGGATTAAGCGTTTAAAGTATTATATTCCTGTTCAGTAGGTTTAAGTGTTTTAAGTTTCAATAGTTTTATTTCTTAAGTAATAGTTTTGTGTATACTTACCGTAAAACGTCATTGTGATGACGATCGTCCGCAAGAAAAGGACGAACCGGTTTGTTTTACTGTAAAGCTACAACAAATTAGAATCTTCGGGTAAGTTGAAGATGTTGTGCAGGACAAGGAGAGAAGAGATCTGAAAAACACAAGAAAAAAATACTTTAAGGTTAAAGTATTGTGTTGATGCTAAACGGCGGGGAAACAGCTGTGTGTGGCTGTCGTAGTTTAGTTTTCCTTATTTAGTGTTTTAAGTTTAGTTTTTTAAATTAAGAGTTTTGTTTGTCGAAAGAGTGTTAACCGACGTTAAACAAGTTATTTAATTTTGTTTTTATTTACTAATCTGGTCATGTAGGTGATAAGATGATACAACGTTGGTTTAAAGCTAGGTTAAGTACAAAGAAAACAAAGTAGTCGAATCAACGGGTAACACGGTTTTGAAAACACATGGTTCGTTAGAAACATGGTGGTTAGTGGTTTGATCTAGTCTGGGGTCAAAATTTAGGTTTTCTAAGGTTTTAGGCACTAATGGAAAAAATTCAAAAGTTAACAATTAAGAGAAGTTTTGTGGGTAAACATGTTTGGAAAATTCAGTTAATTCGGCCTATGGTAAAAGAAGTTGTTAGTTGCAAAATTTGTGTAAAAGTAAAAAGTGGTAGTTAAGAAAAGTTTTTGTTGTTTTCGGGTTCTGTTAGGTACTAGGGATCGAACCACTACGTTAAAAGTCCTTAATCGGTACTTTAACAATAATTTGTTAATTAACAAATTATTTGTTGCTTAAGAGATGCGTCAGTGCAAAACAGTACTGCGGTGTACCTTTAATTCGACTAGTTTGCGTTTGGGTAAAGTTTTGTCCGTTTAGGGAATTTGCTTTTAGAACACACCTAAAGGTGCGCTTACGCGGTTTCGTGTGATCCGCGCTTTAAGGTGCAATTTCATGCAGCGAAATTTCGCTGGCGAAATTCCCCCACTCCGAGCAGCGTTGAAACGCTCACCGCTTTCGCCCCGTTACCTTTTCATGGAGCGAAGTTTNGCTGGCGAAATTCCCCCTCTCCGTCGAAGACAAAGAGCAGCGTTCAAACGCTTTTGCATTGACCAAGTGTCGTAGGTGTTGTTTTCAGGTTAGTTTAGATGTATTGTACAATATTTTTCTGTTTCTTTTTATTTGTATGTAATTGTTATAATCGATATGAATTTATAAAACGTGATGTGATAATGTTTACAGAAAACAANAAGCGTTGCACGTCCGAGTGCAGACAAAAAGATGGATCAGCATAACATAAAGCTTAAATATACAATTGCAATGATAGAAGAAGTAATTAGAAGACGACGTAAAGCCGCAATAGCTGCTGTAATACATCATTTAAAATATAAATATAAAAAACGAAATTATACAAAGAAAACTTGTTGGGTAGCGCCTATTTTCGAAGATCGCAAAGAAAACAGTTTTTACTTTACATCAGTCCCAAAACTAAAATTGGAAAATTTCCGATTCCATAATTACTTTCGAATGAACGCAACTCAGTTGGAGGAATTGTTAGAAATTATCGGGACAAGACTGCAGAAGCAAAATGTTGTTTGGGAATCCATCTCTCCACCTGAACGCTTGGCACTGACGTTGAGGTGTGTTTGACTTTATTTATATATAAACATAATAGTTTGTATTAAAAAATAAATGTGGAAAAATCACGTAGTAAAAGCCATTTTAATAGGACTTCCATATATTTTATCATCACACAAATTAGTAATTTGTACCTAATTGTAGAAATATTGTAGATATTTGGCATCTGGCGATTCTATGACGTCGATGTCATATCAGTACCTAGTGGGTGTAACAACAGTTAGTAACATTATTCAAGAAACATGTGCAGTAATTTGGGAACTTTTGTGTCCTTTAATTCTACCTGGCCGACTTGAAGAAAAAGATTGGAATGATATAGCCAAAGGATTCGAAAAATGGAATTTTCCGCATTGCATTGGAGCTATTGATGGCAAGCACGTTGTCATCCAAGTATGTATATGGATTACAAGTACAAATGTATATATAAGGTTTCTGTTTAAGATTTCTATAAAATAAATGAAATTTGAAATAAAATTGTGAAATTGTTTTAGTGTCCTAATAAAGCTGGATCAACGTACTTCAATTATAAGCATTCCCACAGTATAGTCTTAATGGCTATCTGCGATGCAAACTATATCATCCGTTTTGTAGATATTGGAGCCTACGGACGACGCAGCGATGGTGGTACTTTTAGTGATAGTGCCATAGGAAAATATTTTGACAATAATCTCATGAATGTTCCACAGCCAGCTGCTATTTCAGGTAGTCCTGTTTTACCGTATTGTCTTGTGGGAGACGGGGCCTTTCCTTTAAAGCCATATTTGCTTCGCCCGTACAAAGACAGAGGGCTAGTACCGGAGCAAGACGTGTTTAATTATCGCTTAAGTCGAGCAAGACGATTAATTGAAAACACCTTTGGTATACTCGTTAGTCAGTGGCGAATATATAGGAAGCCAATTATTGCCAGCCCTAAAAATGCTATAGGAATGGTTCAAGCAACCGTGTGTTTACACAACTGGCTTCGGAAAAATGACATTGCAAATGAATATGTACCTCTCGATATGATCGATTCTGACGATCCACAAAATCCTAGTAGTTTCAAAGCAGGATCTTGGCGACGCATCATNGAAGATGGCTGCGCGTTCAAGGATATTACAAACTGTAATTCTAAAATGATTGCTCGACAATGCGCAAGCATTCGCAACAAATTTTGTCATTATTTTAATAATGAGGGAGCGGTGCCATGGCAATATAATCGTCCAAG